CAGACAGACAGACAGACAGACAGACAGACAGACAGACAGACAGACAGACAGACAGTGACAGAAACAGAGAGAAGGGGAGAAGAAGGTGAGATAAGGACGATATATGTTTGATAAGAAAGACGGAGCACACCGCACCAAAGCACTCACCACCTACCCACCTATTTGTCACCTGACCATTCTATTTGTGTCAATTTTACGTATGAAGGCAAACATATCAGTAGTATGCGAGGGCAGAACATGTCCTATGTGTTCGTCAATGATTGCATGACAAGTGTGTATGAGCTTGTGCGTTCTTGAGCTATGAAAAAGATGCGCCCTGCGTGTGTGGAGCCAAGTACGTGGGCACTAAAGTTACTGTCTTCGTGTGATGTCCATGTCTTGTGAAAAATCAAAGAACATCAAAGACCCACCTCATACACACACGCATGCTCTCACACATTACTAATCCCCGTAAAGTGCGTACATTATATATATTATGTACAAACGAGCATACATGCACATTCACGTACAGCCCGTCAGAGTCGGTGGTAGAGCGGTTAGGCCACGCACTGCTCTAACAGACCGATAATATTCATTTTTGCGGATAACAATTCTCCCCATGTGGGAATCTAACTCAAGGTCTTCTGCCTGCGATAGCGAAGTGCCTAACTGCTACACCATAAACACAAGTTGGTACACTTGCATCTATCAACATATCAACGTTGGAATACCCAATCCATGTTAACATGATGTCTTCGGAATTTTTAATTCAGAGATCGATCTTTGTTTTAGAAATGCATTTCTTTTATGAATACATGCATTACCGACATCAAAACATTAGATCGACTTCTTTAGAGTTTTACGGCACTTGCAAACCAAACAGTTCATAAGTGCCAAAGATTTGACGTGTGACAAGAGAGTAACGTACGAAAAAAGGAGGAGAGATTATGACGATAGATATTTCGATTTTTTATCGGAAAGAAGGAGCAAAAGACACCAAAGCACCCGCCAACCACCCATCCGACTTCTTTGAGGTAAAAGAAATCCCCCAACCTTTTTTTTACAATTATTC